TAAGTAGGAATATTGGGGAAATTGTATGACAAATTGGAAAAAGTTTACTTGTGATGCATTTTGTCCTTCAGGACTTCATCGGACTAAATGTATATTAGTATGACTATACAAGCACATGAACATGGGATGTTGAGGATTTTAGAATTTTTTTTTTTTTTTATATCTAGCGAAATTAATTTAATCTTTTTCTTTCGTTAGTAGGTTGATCTTCTATTATCACAAAGACTCTAAATGAATTCGGCTAAATATAAAAAAATTCTAAAAATAAAAAACAATTCTAAAAGCCCCAGCACCCCTCATTCATGTGCATGTGTAGTTGTACCAACATACCAAATTTTTGTGACATACAGTGGCCTTTAATAATTAAGTATAACTCAAGACTTCAATGTTAAAATAAAACTGTATCTAATTACAACCGCAAATAAATACTTAACAAGAACAAAGAAGTAAAAGTCAACCAAAGATAATTAACCATTTCAGTGAATACCTTGTTAGTAGTGTGGCTCAGCTTAATGTCCGGTAAATCCTAAATTAAAACCCAAATCATCAACACACAATAATTCACACTCATTCAACTGGATAGTTCCACTCAATAGTCACAGCAGTCAGTAGCCTGACACCGCTATTTATACACCTGGTGGTAAACATATATTCATAAGTCCAGAGTGTCACACTCGAACCTCGGTGTTGGTAGTTACTCATTTTCTTCCTACAACACAAATTTAGTCCAATGAAGTCCTGAAGGATGAAACATGTAAACTTTTTTCACTTTGTCATACAATTTCCTCAATATTGTTCTTGATATATAAAAAATATATATTGTTATCTCATTAAGTAGGAATATCTAAAGAAGTGACAGATATTTATTTATTAATCCAACTTGAATAAATGCTCCATTTATTTATTAAACAGTATATTTATTTATTTTTGTCTATCACCCTGAATGTTAGAGAAATCCTAGTAAAGAAAAATATAGATATATACTCCCTGGCAGGATTCGAACCTGCAGGAGGAACCATTGTTAGATCTGATGTGTTTTAACTGTCTTCACCATGATTTGCGTTGATGATCAAATAATGTTTAAGTAATAAAAATAGGAATATGTATTATTATGCAACATGAGCATGTGAGGCGGGGGCTTACATAGGGTGAACAATTTAAATTTAATTTATGCAGTAAACTGAACCCCACTTTTAAAATTTAGAAAATTTAAAAAGAAATATTGTTTTTTTTTTATATTAATAGATCTGGAGTGTTTATTTAATAGCAAAAAGAAAATAATTTTTTTTTTAAATATTTATTTTTTAGAAAGGTGCATTTCTGTAGAAATGCCAAAAATCCTGAATACACTTTATAAAAATCCAGTATTAATTACAGGCTTCTACCTATCACTATTTTTGTGATGATGGTTTAATGTTAACTGCAATGTTTTTACTTTCTTAACATTTACTAAGCTTAGCTTAATATGGCACAAGGTGGTGTCTTGCCATAGCACAGTAGTTAGCACTTGAGTTTTAAAGTCTATTACTTCTGTAGTAGTTTTGAGCCTTATTTGTTGTCCAACACTTGTATACTAGTATCAACTAAGCTAGCCTTATTAGCTATCAATAATTGTGACTGAGCTGTAGAGCAGTGATAGTAAGCTAGTCTACAAGTAGGTGTGATCCACTCTGGGTGCCTCATACTAGTGACTTTACATGGCACATGTAATGGTATATCATCTCTCAGTTGTAACTCTGTCTGTGGACAGAGTGCAGCTGGGGAAAAAATACAGAGAGGTGCCCTGTCCCGGGGAACAGCTACCCACGACAGTACTCACCTCATTATACTAGAGAGGGGAGATTGGTAGTGATATCAATGCCAATTTTTGGCCCAGGTATACACACTCAGGTGTTACACATTAAACCTCACCTTGTGTCACATAATGTCGATATGGGGAGACAGGTTTTTTGTTTGTTTTTATAGCAGCATATCTTCTCTCACGAGTCATTTAATACCGAAATTTAATTTTCTTGGGAGCATTAGTAATTTCTTTTACTTTGCTGGTAATTTTTTTTTTTTTTTTTTTTAAATGCATTGCTAATAATTTTTTTTTGTCATAAATGCATTGTTGGTATATATATATATTTTTTTTTTTTTTCCAAAAATGTATTGCTGGTAATGAAAAAGTATTTTTATACTTTCAGTGTTTTGGCTCCAGTTTTTGGGTTAACTATTTGCCCATAGTTGGGACCCTAACAGGTGCTACCACCCTGGGTTAGGGTGGAATGTGGAACAACAGCAATTAAGAAGGGCTTCCACACTCCTTAAAACTTCCTGATCAGAGGTCTTGCTGCCAGATGTCATTTATTGTCATGTCCAGAATGTGGGAAGATGGCTAAATACTTAAATAGCTACTAGTAACCTTGTGCCAGACTAAGCTAAGTAAATATCAATAAGGGCACCTAACTGGGGAGTAATGGTAAACAAGCTAATCTTGTAATCCATTACTATGGAAGTAAGTTTAATTCTTTCTAAGTACTTTGCACTAATGATTTTGTGATGCTACAGACATAATTAGGACTCTCACATAAAACTGAGATAAACCATTCTCTTCTAAGTGTTTTCTGTTTTGTTTTTTTTATTACAGTGTAACCCGGATATAAGAGAGTTGTCGGGACTGGAGAAGAAGTCTCTTATATCCGGGTTTCTCTTATATCCGGGTTCGGTCTATTTTATATACATTAACACAGGCTCTAACTTGGGACCAGAGAAAATCTCTCTTATATCCGGGTTACACTGTATTATCAGTGATGGAGACTTCAAAGTGGCCACCCACTTAACCAAAAGGGAATAAAATAATAAATAAATGAAAATTTTTGTGGTCAAGTGCTGCATGGTTGGAAGTTACAAATTTCCATGTGCAGGTTTATATAAACATTCACATTTAGGTTTGAAGGTACTTCTAGGCTGTCCATTAGGGTGTGCTCTGTCATTCAAGAGATAATTGCTAGCTACATGTGAACTCTGGCTCTCCTACCACCCCTCTACAGGTAGAGGGGTGGTAGGAGAGCCAGAGTTCAACCTGGTTGAGGGGGAAAACTGATCCATTGATCCAAGATATCAGAAGTTATCTCCAAGTGTCACCTACTTACCTATCCAGACTGCAAGTGAATCCCTAAATAATCAACCAAAATATATCAGAAACAGGGTTCAAGTCTTCATTTCTTACCATAACATTGTGAACACATGAATTACCTTTCTGACATGAATGAGAACAGATGCAACATGGCGTTACATATCCAGTTGGGGAAAAACTGAGAGAAGAACCTGTTGTAGTTTTACAACATTGTATTCAAACTAAATTTAGCAAACACCTAACAACAAGAAAAAATATGTTGCTTGTAAGATTGTGTTACACCCGTATGGGGTGAGAGTCCTTGCCTTGAAAACCAGTATTCAAATTTCTGGCTTTTATCTGATCACTCCTGAGAAATACCTAACCATCTCAACTACTATGCAGGCTTTATTTAATCTACAGGGTGATCCAAAAGTCTTGTCACCCCCTAGCAAAAAAGTAATGAGAACAATAGAAGAACAAGTAATACAATAATACAAAGCATAAGTACTGGATTCAGTTTATTCACTTTCATTGACGCTGAACATGTCTTGTGTGATATTTTAGGAAGCTATGCTTTGATTGTTGCAAACACCCTCTGAACAGTATCCTTCAACTGATGGGTATTGGTCATGTGAAACTCTCTCTTTGATAATATCCCACAGAGCATTGAAATAGAAAATTATATTATGTAGGGCTGACAAGACTTTCGGACCATCCTGTATTTCAAACCACATCAGGAGTAAGACAAGGAGGAAATAAAAGTTTCAGTCTATCTCTTCCTAGACTATGCCCTGCACATACACAAATACACATGTGAAGAGATGGGCACTAATCATTTAAGCATTCTATACCAAATTTCAAACAAATTTACTAATAGAAAATAGCATTCTTGCTGATGCCAATGTATTGATGATGATGGAGAGCTATGCTGATGACATAGATATATATAATTAAGATATAGATATATATATATATATATATATATAATTGAGATAAGAATGATCTTGAACAAAAAAAAAATCAAAATTCTCTACCAAGTATTCCAAGAAATATTACTCAAGATAAACCTTTCCAAAATAGAAACAATGATCTGGAATTAGAATGAAAGAAGTGATGGCACTGATAGCCTGAATCCATCATAAATACTCAGCATGTGGAATTATTAAATACCAAACACTTCAAATATCTTGGTGTATGGATCATTCATAACAAATTTAATATACGAGATGAGGTAATTGAACATAGAAAAGGCTATACTAGTGTTAGATTTATCCAACAACACAAATTGCTACAAAACTAAAACATTAACATAAAAACTTGAGTCATGTTCTTAAATAGACTTATCTTATTGAGACATTCATATGGATGTCATGTATGGCACCAAACTTGTTCAGAAATATCTAAACTGTCAGTTGTATTCAACCGCTTTCCAAGATTAATGATTAAAATAGTGTCTAGCACATGAAGTCTGTAGATCTTCAAACCTCAAAGATTGGTGCTACAGAATCACAAACAAAGAACTATACTGGATAATAGAAACTCCATCATTTGAAAACTTTCAATAATGGTAGCAACTAAAATGGATAGCACATATAATTCAAAGAGAAAATAATGCCATAATCAAGATGTTAATGTTCTACACTACTTCCAACAAAAAGTTAAGAAGAAAGTCTCTTGCCACCCACTAAATACTGGTAAAATCAATAACAGTCAGGGGACTTGAGAAAGATATTTTTCTGAAAAATTATTTTAAGAAAGATTTTATAGATTTCAGCTAATATGCCTAAGGTTTCCTTATAAGGAAATGGCTAATATTGCAATTACCACTTGAAATTTGTCATAATGTTTTAATTGTTTGAACAGATTTTGAAATGCAGGTTTTTTTTGTTTTTTTTTACAGATTTTTATTTCAGCTTTTTCATTTACCTATGGTGATGGTGAACGCCTTGTTTTTGGCTACGATAGTTTTGGCAACACTTGTGGAAAACGCAATGACCCAATCAAAAATGTCTCCAATTCAGGAATGGACATGCGAAAAAGGACGTAAGTTAAATAATTTCCTTTTTACTTGCATAAGTATCTCCCACTGGCCTTGTGCCAGACTTGATTTGATTCTTGTAAATTAATGTCTATTTATGTAGTGCTGTAGAAATAAATTTTTCATAACAAGTTCAATTATTACATAAATATGCAAACATGTTTGATTTTAATTGTACTTAACCATTTGCTAATGATCACTAATTAGAGCAACACTGTCCTGTCAGTAACACTGGGCATAATTTTTAGTCACAAACTATTTTTTCCTTCCTGATTTTCAATATACAGGGTGATCCGAAAGTCATATCACCCCTTATCAAAAAGTAATGAGAACAATAGAAGAACACGTAATACAGAACACATGTATTGAATTCAGTTTATTCACTTTCATTGACAAAATCAAGATCCTTTGTCATGTGTGTTAACATTGTGGTTTTGGGAATTCCTAGCTCAGAAGACAGTCTTCGTAGTGACTTCTTGGCTGATTGTAGCACAGATGCCTCCCCCTTTGCACATGTGTCCCTTTGCATTGAGGGTCGTCCTATCCTTGGTTTGTCCTTAATTGATCCTGTGAGAAACTGTTTATGTTCCCATCACAGTATCGTCCTCTTCGGAGGAGTTGGTCTGCTGAATCTTCCAGTGAAGTTAGGTTGTATATCCTCCATACTCTTACCAGAATCCACACTAGCGAGCAGCCTCTCTTCCAAACTCAAGAGCTCATGTCAGCCATCTGAAATAGAAAATTATATCAGGTAGATATGACAGGACTTTTGGACCATCCTGTACAATGCACAAATTGAGTGCTACAAAAATTTTAAACCAAAAATTGCAAAATTCATTGTTAATGATCCATATTTTCTCCTCCCCTGTTAAAAATTTCAAGGGATGTTCAGAAAGTAAGATACAAATATTTGCTAATCCAGCATGATTATTATTCTACTGTGTTAGAAGGCAACGATAGTTGTCTCCCCCTGGAACTACTACACTTTATAAAGAAATGATCGAACCTCACTTAATAAGGAGTAGTCAAATTATAGTGAATACTTTCACTATAAACTTAAACATTTGTTTTTTCTTTACATATACAAATAAAACATTATTTTACCAACAATACTATGCTACTTTTCCACACCATCATCAGTCCCATGACCAGATGTCATCTTAGGGTCACTGAACAGGTGAGAAACTAACTAGCTCCTTCCATATGTCTTGATTGCATGCCAATGTCCGAGTCTCTGTGAACAATCTTCCAATTCACTCAGTAATGTTTGTGAGTCCATTTTTCCCCTATCTGCCTCTTCTTCTTTTGCCAAAGTTGGTACCTTTTAAGAAAAGGCAATAAAAGTACAGGTTTCAGGAAGGCAGAAGATAGCGACTGATACTGCATATAAAGTTTTGAATATTTTAGGTGGCAAGAAAGTGAAAGAGAGTTCCTGAGGTGGAAGTACAAGAGAAGAAACTATTAGAATAGAATCTACAGTTACATCTAGCAATTTCAATTGTAAAATGAGACCTAATTGCCAATCAAGTAGTATGCTTAAACTTATGTGACAGAGGTACCAAGGAGTGGAGCTCATTAAAATAAATGCCATTGTAACCTTCTACACACACTCTCTCTCCTGTTTCTCATATCGTCTTCTCAGTTGCTAGCTCTGCTTGCTTTGTTGTGTAATACTGACCTTATGGATCATCCAGATATCTTTTCTCTCCTTGGTTGGGGCAGGTGTGTCATGTCATCTTGAGAGGGTTGATTTAAGTTTCCCAAAATTTTACAATATTTGGTATTGATGGCATAGTCTAGTGTGGATCCATCTATGTACATTGTGTACCACAGGCAAGATTGCATAATTTCTCTCTGTGGCCATGGTAACATTTGTCTCTTTGCATCTAAGTCAACTTTGGGAATGAAGGCTGGAATAAGAACTCCATCAATAAAATGGACAATATTGTTAATAGCTCTAACAACAGATTTATTGAATATAAAGAAAAACTTTTGAATTTAGCATAAAATCAAGCTCTCTGCTGTCAAATGGTGATTTGAGAAATCTAGTAGCAAACACTAAAATAATAACCAGCCAGTCAGCACTCACTCAATTCTTCTGTCATTTGTGTGTCTGTGTTTTCACTCCAACTATAGGTACTAATACCTAATTTCTCCCCCACCTCCCAACTATCTTAATCTTAGATCTTTTTTTGGTACTCTCTTTGTTCAGAATCCTCTGTTTTTCTTTCTGTAAAGATAATGGTATTTTGGGACAGTCAGCATCAACATAAACAAATCCCAAGCTTAAGAATTATACAAAATCTGGATGATTTCTTTGTTTAAGAGAATTTGGGTAATTCTTTTCTGTACGGATATGTGTCAGATGGATAGTATAATGTAAAGAAGACTCCCAAACTTGCGAATTAGACAAGAAACAGATGCCTTTTCTTTGTCTAGTAGAATTTGGATCACTCTTTTATGTAAGAACACACACGTTTTTGACAGTATAAATGTAACCCCCCGCCCCCAATTTAATTTCCCAGGACCGAAACAATTTGGACAGCACATGAATCATCTTATTGGCAAAAAGTGGATAAGGTGGGGAACAAAACTGATGGAAACTTTAGCACCAATACTTGAAAGGTGGTTTAAGGTTGTAGAAAGTCAACGAAAATACTTTGATTACTGAATGCTATGAATTTAAATGAATAAAAGATTTTGTCAAAAACAAATGCTGAAAACGTTTGTGTCAACCTGATATGATGTAATGGAAGTGTAGACAGTATAACGGTTATTGACACAAAAAAAAAAGGAAGTCGGCAATCTGGGTTCAAATTCTGGTTAAGTCACTTTACACTAATGCTCTTGGGAAAAGATATGAAGCAATCTCTTTTTCCCACCTCCAGCAATGAGTAAAGTAGCAAAGCAGATTATGCTTTCTGGACATGTTTGGCAATCAGCCTAAGAGAAAGACAACTGTAAATTCAAACTCGTTGGTTAATATTTCCAACTCAAAACTTACTTATAAAAAGAGTAACATCAGCACTATCGTAAAGGAATGTACAAGTTTAAAAAGAAGACTGATGTAATATGCAATTTTGCTAATAAATAGCATAAGGTCACAGAAACCAAAAGAAAAATACATTCATAATTGAAAACTTTTGCATCAGCCTAACAGTTGGATAAAATCCATATCTTCTTTTTATCAATTTTAAATTGGTAAAACTATGATACTGTGTTGATAATTTGACTTGAAATTTACTGATTTTTTAAAATCCAATTTGTTTGGAAATTTGCTTGCAATGATCAAAGTCTACTTAAAAGTTTTGACTTGACCACTCTATATTGGCTGATGGGAAAACCTGTTGGCAGTATGACATCTATTTAGATCCCATTATTTGCATCATGTGAGCGTTTCATGGAATGTAGATAAAAAGCACTTTGAGGCACAAACAATCAAAAGAGCAAGAAATTAGTTTTAAAAGTCAAACACAATGCGTCCAGGAAATGGGTGGAGATAACCAGTCTCAAAGGAAACTAGATTCCATAATGTAAAAATAATTACATTGAAAATGGAACAGACAAAGGATTGAGACTCTTTGTGTCTGCAATTTGGGTGGGTGGGGAATGAAGATACCAAGGGAGATTACTCATGGTCACTTCAAAGGAAGTAAGTCTCTCTTCACAGTGAATAGAGCTTTATACACACACACACACAATGTATATATATCATATGAATATATGCAAACATATACACAAGCATATACACACACACACACACATATATACACACACACATACACATATATATGCATACATGTGCACATCATATATACGCACTTGCATATAAACATCAGACACACACACACATAGATATATACACACAGAACTACAACAAAGTTTTAGTTTGGAAACAAAAAGGACACTTATACATAGCATCAGAAAGAAAGTTGAAATTTCTAAGGTACATAATGAGGAAAGAGGGCTTGGAAAATTTGATCCTCAAAAGACATATTGAAGGCAAGAGGGATAGAAAAGTAGTACATAACCTACCTAAGGAGCTTGTGTAAATGGTTGGCTAACACGGATTAGGAGATGTAAAAAACAAAATTTACTAAGGGCCTGTAAAAGTCAGGAAGTTGTGGAGAGTCATGATCTCCCACGTCTGGAAGGGACATAGCACATAGAAGAAATGTCCACTATTGGGGAATAAAAGTTTTAAAAAAAGAATTCAAATTCTATGGATTTGATTACAATAAAAATTGTAGTAAATATTTAAAAAAACTTGTTTTATGCAATATTAAATTTTCATAAAAAGAACCAACTGTACAAAGTTAAAAAGGAAATAAATAGTATAGAAAAAGTGGAAAAAGAGAGAATTGATAACATTTTTTTCAATACAAAGACCTGTAGTGGTTCCTGATAAAAATAAAATGTATAAACAAAAAAATAAAAAGAATTCAAAGTAAAATAAGGCATTTGCACTTTCCTTTAAAACCTCTCTCCCTCCCTCTCCACACACTAACGAAAAGGCAACCCTCAAAGAAGAGAAAGAAGAAAAACTGAACCCAGACAAAAAACACTGAAAGTTTGTAGGTTCAGAGCCTATTAATTTGTGACTGAAAACTACCAAAATTCAAGGAGTCTCCACATATAACTTCCATTACAAAAAAAAAAATTAAAAAACATTAATACAAAGAGACTTTTGATGTTAGCCAAAACAAAGATCCCACCAGCATCTCAGAGCCTGGCCAAAAGGATATAAGCTGACACCTCTGAGCTAAGGGAGACAGCAGAAGATGGAACAAAAGATGCTGCTATGGAGAAACTAGCCAAAACACAGTAGATTGACACTGACCTATTTCTAATATTACTACTACTCCTAACACAGTCTAACTTCAAAATTACTACTACTGGTCTTTCTCCAAGCAACTACCAATATCCACCTTATAAATGAACATTTTGCAATGCTTAATACCAAAGGGCTCACTCTAAAGAAAATAAATAAAAAATATACTATTTATCCAGTCCTTTTATTCCAAAGTTTTTGATAAAATAATCCCAGAATTATTTTCCAGCACACAACATCCATACACCTAAGGAAAAGAATTCTTTTGAAAAAAAAAAAATTAAATGGCATGATGTTTCCAATGCAAATGGATACAGGGAGTGAAGTCACTCTTATCCCAAGAAATTTCTGGGAAGTTGACTACTGCTCACATGTCATAGAACAACACAATACAAAAAACTGTCTAATACATAAAAGGGTGGCATACAAAATATTGAATTTAATGTAAATTGGCTTAATATTGATATAAAATATTAATAAGACATGTAAAGACCAAGGATTTTAATTACTTCTGCACATGACAATCACAGGGCTTAACTAATTTGCCACATTATTCTTCTATGTTTTTGTCACGTTCTTCTAACTTTTCCTGTTACTGTCATTGGCTTCCTTGCTTGAACATCATCTCTGATCTTCCAAAGATTCTCAATTGGATTAACATGCAGACTATAAGTAAGGTATGCCATTATCTCATCATTTTGAGCCTCAAAGAATTTTTTTACTAGTTTTACAGTAAGACAAGAGGCAGTATCTTGCATAAAGTGTGTTGCAGGTACAACATGCTGTTCAGCGAGCTTCTTATACACCATAGCAATTATTTGTCATAGTCTATGATGTAATGAATATGCATACACCTGGGTTCCTTCTCACAGTAATATGATTGGCTGGTGTCAGCCATAAATACAGACTGATGTGGAGGTACAAGAGGACGCCTATTGACTTTGCCTATTGCCTACCACCTCGACGAGGACAAATCCATTACGGTTATCGGTTACAGTAGTCCAAAACCACTTTGCTACTTTGAACAAATATATCCCTTTCCGGGACATATCAGTCTAGTATAACAAATATAAAAAATAACTGAAATTTCTGGGATATGTAATAAGGGAAGAAGGTTTGGAGAATTTAACACCCATAGGGAATGCTGAAAACAAGAGAAGCAAAGAGGAGCAGCAGGAAATCTACTTGATGAGTTCAAGTGAATAGATGATACACTAAGGACAAAGAGAGATGGTAAAAGGGCAAATGAGCAATAAAAGACAGGAAATTATGGAGAGCCATAGTCACCCATGTCCTAAAAGGACATGGCATATGAAAGAAGGAATCTAGTATAAGCAAGGGCACTTACTAGAAAGTAGTTGTTTCTAAGTTAGTGTCAAAAAAATTTAATATATTTAGGTACTTGGTTCACAATTAATTTGGCCATGTACCAGACTTAGCTTTATAAATATTTATCTGAATAAGCAATGCATACTTTGTGATATATTTTAAAAGGAAATAATGAAGTGAATTTTTTTTTATTGCCATGTCCTCTTAGAATTTATGTGATCATGGCTGTCCATAGCTTCCTTTTTCTTTTAATATCTGTAAACTGCATTATCATGACTGTTCTTTGAAAAATAGTGAAGTGGTTTCATGTTGCCTTCTCTGAGGTTTTGAATTCATAGTTGATCTTTGAGAGTGGTTGCTCTCCAATATTTGAGAGCCATGTTCACTAATTAACTTCCCCAATTTACTTAATAAATTTCAACTAATAAATTAGCACCTTTTAAATATCAGCTTGCAATAATCCAGGTGTGTATTTATGAATATTTTTTCAGCCATGTTTTCTTCATGAATATTGAAAATCCAGCTAAGTCAATGGCAATCTGTGTCAAAGAATGTCCAGATGTGAAAATGTCTAATCAACGAGAATACCAAGAATATGCTAAAAAGACAGGAATCCATCTTTGCAGATATGAAGTGGATCCAGCTTATTACAACATCACAGTATCAGGAACACGGGGCCCCTGCCCTAAGGTTGTATACAAAAGGTAAATTTTGGTTTATTTCCATGTTTATTTTCATTTCTATGATTATATTGAATTACTTATAAAAATAAATAATTTTCAAATATTGCATTTGATTGCTTATAAGACTTGTTATCTTTAAAAAAAATTCAAATTTTTGTAAATTTAGACACACATATGTATAAATGCATACTTTGTGTGTGTGTGTGCAATCAGCTAAGTGACAAATGTTATTTGTATTAATCCAATATATATATATAAATTGTGTATTTGGCCAGCAATCCCTCTTTTATGCAAGTTTTGTTGAAAACAACTGACAAGTTGCAGTGGCTGAGTTTTTTATATAATTTCTCATGTGTGTGTAAAAAGAAAAAATTATATGAACACATGAGAAATTATATAAAAAAAACTCAATTACTCCACCTTGTCAGTCATTTTCAATGAAACTTGCATATATATATATATATATATATATATATATATATATAAATTATAGCATAAATATGTTATAAAATCACTACAAAAATAGCCATTTTGTTTCAACACTTTTGGTGTTTTATTCAACATCATCACTTGATAAGACACCAAAGGTGTTGAAACAAAATGGCTATTTTTGTAGTGATTTTATAACATATTTATGTTATAATTTTTAAATAAATATTTATATTCGCTCTACTCTGTATTGAGCACTCTTTTAAGAATAGTAATTGTTGGTGATTGGAATTTATTCCATATACACCAATCATACACTTGGGTGTATATATATATATATATATATATATATATATATATATATATATATATAGCACATGGTGGTACATAGGAAAGTTGTGATCAAATACAGAGTTTATCTATTATATGTGCCTGATACCTATGAAGTTGAATACTGGTCTCAAGTCACCTTAGGGATGCAAAGGGTGAGAAGGTGGGTCTCATCTAAGTAAGAAGTGACAGTTATGAGATATACACACACACACACACACACACAAAATACCATGATATAGACAAAGGAATTTTGTCTACCATACAGGCACCATTTTGGTTCTTGAAAATGACTTAACAGTTGAAAATACTTGACAAGACAACAACCAAACATAAACGTTGAACAGTTTATCCTTAACTTTGATCACAATCAACAACACCTTATTCAAAAATTAGAAAAATTCAATTAAAATTAAACATGCAGACCTTATTGGTTCTTTTTAATCAAATTTATTTGTTATATATATATATATATATATATATATATATATATATATATATATATATGGTGAAGTGGCTAGATTATTTGCTTTCCAATGCAATTTGAATCTTACTATTGTTGATTTGACAGAATTGAAAGCTTGGGAGAAATGAATAAAGTTCTGGGGAGCTTCATAATATCATAATCTCCAAAATTATATATATATATATATATATATTTCCTCACTTCTCTTCACTTTTTTTTCATTCTCTTTCATTCCTGTAACCTTGCTTGGGGTGAAATGATTTATATATATATATATATATATATATATATATATATATATATAATCATTTCACCCCAAGCAAGGTGATAATGTCACTAGGATGCAGGAGTTACAGGGAGTGAAAGAGAATGAGAAGGCTTTAGTGAAGAGAAGTGAGGAAATAAATGAACAAGATTCAGAAAGACAGAAGATGGCTATTGACATTGTATTTAAACTTTTGAAGATTGTAAGTGGCAGAGAAGTAAGAAATTGGAAGAGAGTTCTAAAAGTGAGAAAAGAAACTATTAGAAGAAAACTCATATAATGTGTGTATGTAATTTTTGTTTATAATTTTGAAATGTTATTATCATTTCAAGATTTGATCAGAGTATTGAACTCACTTTTTATGATCTTTATTTTTTATAAGGATATTACCACATTTCAATTGATCTAGCAATCAACAGGCATCCTCCAGGGGTCACTTCTCAGACCAATCCCCTTTCTATTTAATATAAATAATCTGCCTAAGAGCATACTCAGATCATTTGTGCATATCTATTCCTATGATATAATGATATATGGGTGCAACTTCAAAATTCTAGATAATCAGAGATTGGCAGCTGATCTCTGCTCTGACCTAGCTCTAACATCTCAGTGGGAGGAAAAACTAGCTGGTTACATTCAATGCCTCAGAAACTAGTTATATTCCATCATTGCCAAACAGACCCTGAACTACCACCAGTCATGATGAATGAATGTTCCTTCAGGGAGGCCCCATGCTTTAAGCAACAATTGGGTCTCATACTCAACCCAGATCTCAAGTGGAATTCATACGTATGATCAATCACTAATGGTTGGTTCCTTGTACCACTCCAGTAAATACCTACATACTATGGAAGGTTCTACATTGGATTTGACCAGCAACTACACAATGCCAGCTCCATACATTTAAATGGAACTTTCTTCTTTTTGGCTATATCGTCCAGACTTCAAATAACCTACTCGGTACACTTCACTAAAAATACTATGGAAAGTCTACCATTGGACTTGACCAGCAAATACACAATGCCAGCACCGGACATTAAAATGGAACTTCTTTCTCTTTGGCTATATAGGCAGACTTCAAATAACCTACTCTGTATAATTCAGTTAAAATACTACGGAAGGTTCATCATTGGGCTTGACCAGCAACTTCTCAACACTTTCACCAGACATGTGACCTTAACTTTCGAACTGTGGACTTACATGCTAATTTAACCTACAAGGACTCTGGTCTGTATTCTAAATAAATTTTGTATTAAATTTTAATTTTGTCGTTTGTTGTCCTCTTGTTCCACCTGACAGATCTCACATCTTTAATTTAAAATGCTAGTGGGCCTCTGAGCTTTATTGGGGTGCACAGGCCATGTTATATCTCACTCCCTCCAGGAGTCCACTATACTCCATGTGCTATCTGCTACCTTTACAAGAGTCAGATCAGGCCTAAAATGGAGTACTCCACATCCTTGTGGGTGATAAATCATTTTTCACCTTGCAACCCCTCTCTCACAGATGAGATGTAGCAAGCCTCTTACTGCTCTGTCGCTACTTCCATGGAAAGTGCTCAGATGAACAACTTTCCTTCATTCCACCAGTTTTAACCTTCACGGCTAGGACCCTAATTCATTTTGTATTCCATTGGTGAGAAACCAGTTCCACTCAAGCAATATCTTCTTGTGAACCACTGCTCTGTGGAACAGACTCCGAAGATTACTACAATCCTAACCTGTTCAAGTCTAGGGTTAACTGTTATTTTCCCAACTTATCTCCAAAAACTGTACCCCTTACCCTATAACCCTCTACTTTGAGTGGCTCCCGGGCTTTGTACAGGGTGAATCTCACTTAAAAAAATAAAAAAAAATTCTGCAACCCACTTCAGATGGATACTCTGTAAGCAAAGGGAGAGAACTCTTCCTTTACTTTTACTAAACAAGATGGCAGACAAAATGACATTCATTTACTATAAATCCCCATGTTTAATACGCATTTTTTTTCTAAAAAACAATAAGCAAAATTAGGAGTGCATATTATGCACAGCTACAAAAAAATCTTAAAAAATTCCTGTTTCATAGGTCAATTTCAGTTGCGAAATGACTACTCACCACAAACATGCAACAATTTAACACTAACATTCAGCAATTGCGACCCCATAGCGATGTTAAATACAATCATATATGCCTAACAATACTTACAAATGTAAAATAAAATAAGAATTATTATAAGACTAAATCAGAATAATATTATTCTGTTTAAAACCATTTTTTGTGAAAAACTTCATACAGATCTGGTAAATTGCATATTTTATCCAACAAAAACAGGTTAATGAGTCTGTGCAGAAGGCATAGTATAGGTATTTCCTTTTTCTTTTAGAATTGTGATGATTAGAAATTTTGATAAATATCTTCAATTACAGCATGAATAAGAGTAGGAAATGCTGGTCATAATGAACTTGGAGAGGTACAATTTATGAGGTTTGATTACCAAACAAGGGGTGCGTATTATGCATGAGTAGAAGCGTTTTCCCACACTTTCAGCACAATTTTAGGGGTGTATATTATAGATGAAGGCATATTATACATAGGGAATTATGTTATTAGCAACCATTTTCTGTTCACCATCTTCTTCACTTCTCTATTCTATAATATAAAATCTAGTATCATTTTACTTATTTATCAGTCATGCAACTCTATTTTGCCTTCTTAATAATGAAATATACTGATGTTATGATAAGTATTAATATATTAATATAATATATGAATATATAATAATATAATAGCTATATTAATAAATAGAAGAGATCATGTTGATAATACACTATTTTTACTTTTTTGTTTTATATTAGAATTCTTTGGATATTTTTATTTTAATGTTTAAAATGCAAAATGTTTTCTTACATGTGCCAACAGATTTAAATCCTAGTTTATACTTGCATAAAATATAACCAATGCAAATGGAAAATTACTTACACATTTCTGTCATTTTTGATATTATGAGTAAATGAGTTAATAGTTTTTAGAATGACATACCTTATACATTATGCAACTGAAGAAGGCTGTAAAATAGATCAGCCAAAATATTGCCATAGCAACACAAAAAGAATTTGGGTTGTCCAAACAAATCTTCAAAAGTACTTGAACACAACAATAACAAAATATGAACAGCTTATCCACAACTTCAAGCACAACTTATTTGAAAATTGGAAAAATATAATAAAAAAATCAAATAGACAGACCTTATCCATTCTTTTTAATCCAACATTTTGTGTGTGTGTGTGTGTGTGTGTATAGATATATATGTTGGCCCAACATATAAATAGAAATAAAAATAAATAATATTATAATTACAGCACTTGAAAATTGCTTCAGCATGAAAGTTGTGCAATTAATGTAAGATATTATGTATATTGCTTAATATATATATATATATATATATATATATATATATAAAATAGATCTGTTACTTTACATTGAGCACTGTTTTTTCTTACACTATAGAGTATTTATATACAATCACTCACTTGTATACATACCTATATTTACCCATTCAGTTTATTTCATATATATGTGTGTGTGTGCGTGCGTTCTTTTATTGTTCTCTCTCCTTAATAGTGTTTTCTTTTTCTCATATTCTCACACATTCAGTAAGACCTTAGTTAAGTGATTATTTTTTATCAAAATAAAAGTAAATATATTGTAGTTACCCAAATTTTATCTTTTACTTTAAAAAAAAGTACCAAAATATCTCATTTTAGGGTGTTTTTAAAAGAAATACAGTGTGGGCCAAAACTTTTGGCCTGTAGTATATGTGTGTGTGTGTATATATATATATATATATATATATATATATATGCAAGGACACATGGTGGAATAATGGTTAGCAGCTCTGATTGAGGAATCGGAGAGTGAGTTTGAATTCCAGTCAAATCCATTACATTCATTTATGTGCTAATACCCTTGGGAAAGGTATTAATCCTCTTCTTCTCCCTCCAGCTATGAGTAAATAGCAGGACAGATTTGGTTCTATAGCCTTGGTTGGCAACTAGTCTAGGATACGGACAACTCTGAATTCAAAACCTGCAGAGGGTTGTTTGAGGACCTTGTAGCACAGAGTGCACCAGGTCTCTGTATTTGGCCCTTCAAAAATGTGAACGGTTCTTCACAAAACCTACATCACTATTATCAAATCTCATGTACTGGTGTCGGGCTGGCAGTTCCTAGGAACCGATCTGCTTGACCCTCATATGTCAAATCGATGGGAGAGTTGATAGTGTATATATATACATATATATATATATATATATATATATATACACTATGTCATTCACAGACATAGCTCGTTAGTGTGGCTATTCATCTGGTTGCCTCAAGCAAGGCTCCAAACCTGACTGATTTGGCATCAGTCGGAGATTTTTCCCTAACATATCAGCTCCTGGCAGAGAGGAAGGTGAATTTTTATGTATTTATTGAATAAACATGCCAGTGACTCAGAGTGATCAATTCATAGAAGAGCTTTTGCATTATAAGCAGTAGTAGTCACTGTTTCCAAATTTGTGCTTTCCTCTAAAGTACTTGACTGAATTTTATTTTTCAGGGCATATATATTTTTTATGTCCATATATATATATATATATATATATATATATATATATATATATATATATTTACATTTCAAAAATATATTGTTAAATATAACAGACAACAAATGTCTATTATGTTTGATCATGAGCTGTTCTAAGCATAGTAAAAAATATCCAAATGTTGAACAGTTCTTTATTTGGTTTGTTAGTTTTCATCTAATTTTCTCTATGGCACAATTATTTTGTTAAAAAAATTCCCTGCTTATTTTAGAATTTGGAAAATTCCAACTGGCATGACTATTCCAGACTGCATTCGTATTTGGCACAAAAACTGTATTTGTGTGAATCAATCACTTGTTTCTCTCGAAGACAGAAAGATATTGTTAAATTCTTCCTAAAATCAGACCATCCTCTGATTCAAGCTACACTAATTTCCATCACTAGCTGGATGTGAATGCTCTGAATGTTCAAAACTGAACTAAAAATCCATCACTTGTACAAAGCTTGACACATCTTTTGTTTTTACTCCAACACTCAAAGAAAAAAATGAAAGCAATACAATCCAGAATTTTCATCCAATAGCATTCGCTCCTGTCAAAAGAAACAAAATAAAAACTAGAGTTGATTTGAACCGCAAAAAGGATATAAAAGCCCATCAAAGGGACATTTGGCTATTGAAAGGGATCTTGACCAGAGTTCATATTTCATGGAAAAGTGAACTCTCATCTCCAAAGACATCAGACTCAGCTTGCCAAACACCATTGCCCCAGTAAGTCACAACTCATCCTCCTCCTTCTTTTGTACACCTCACTGGATACCTTTACAACTCCACTTATCTCTTTTTTTTCATATGAGAGACATCTACCCTGATTTTTCATTTGTTGTAGTTTATTTTAATACAATTGTTTATTTCTTTAACTTTTTGTTGTTTCTTCTTTGTTCTGCCACCACACACTTAGTAGCATGAAACACACATTCATATAACAATGTCTAGTTAAATATTGGTAATGGAGAACTGAAGCTGGTATTAGCAGAAATGTATGTGTCTGTGTGTCTTCACTCTGTAAACAAAGAAAGTATTTGTTTTCTGTTATTTAATGTCAATGAGGTTGTAAGATGCCTACTCGTTTTTATTTTCAGTATTTCCCTCTTGAATCGTTGTGTTCCTTCCAATTTGAAAGACATCCCCAAAGATATCGCAAAGAAGATTGTTGCCTACCTGAATGACACAGATATATTTGAAAAGATTCTTGGGGATTTGTATCGATGTTGGAGAGAAATTGTCTACTTATGTCTGATTGCTTTATGTAAGTATCAAATTAAATCAGAATTCTATAAACCATGCAATTGAAGCCATCTGCTCTTTTAAGTATGGAGTTTGATAGACCAGCCACTTATAAATTATATATTTAATAAATCTTAAATAATATTCTTGCCCAATCACAAAGATTAAGCAACATCAGGCCTAGTCATTACTTAGATGGGTGACCACTTGGGAATACCTAAGTGCTGTAAGCTTGGATGTGCAGGTGGTGTAATGGATAATGGGTCAGAATTGTAAATTGGAGAGCTGAGTTCCAATTCCTGTCATGTTCATTATCTTCACTTGTGCACAATTACCCTCGGGAAAGTTATGAATCCACCTATTCTCCTCCCAGCTTTGGATTAAATAGTAAGGCTTGCATTAGTAAATTATTTTCTCCAAAAGATTCTTTCTATTCAAAAATATGTTTTGGTTTTAAATAATCTCAAAAAGGTCGATAATCCATAAAAACAAATCAATCACTTACATTATACATATAATCTCTCCTGTTAGTAACATTTCTTTTAGTCCCTGATTTTCAATACATTTTGATAATAAAATTATTAGTAATGCATTTATATTATCAATTATAGCCTTAGTTTCTCCATAATGTTTGTATTAGGTCATGTACCACTTAATTTGATTACTTTTTTCCTCATTTTTAATGCATTGCTTAGTAGATGTTGGCCGATTCTTATGAAATGTCAACTCTTGTAGGGTTAATGCATGTCTCCATAAGCATTCATACAGATGACAAGTACCATCCTGTGGTACATTATTGAACACTTCTTACACCTGTTAACACAATATAGCAATAGTTGTAGGTGGGCCACTTGAATGAGTCAAATATCATCCTATTTTATCGGGTAATTGTGACACCCAAGGATGTTTTGCTGTGTATGTTGAGTAGCACAGGTATCATGTGGGCAGGCATTATCCTACTGGAGCAGCACATTATTTTTCTGTTGTAGCAGAATAGCACTTATCAGCATTCTATCCAAAGTTGAGAGAGAGTTCTAACTTTTCATACTCCACACTAAGATGCCAAAGGTTGAGGGGTTTATTCAGGGGTTTATATCATACATGCAAACAATCATCTTGCATGAAAGCAAACCTGTTGACATCATGGAAGACGACAAAGCAACATCTTTACCCTCTTATGACAACACTGGAGATATGCATGTTAGTGTTGTAATGTAAGTCTAATTAGAGACATACATGCCTGCTACAAGTAAACAATTCCCAACAGTCCAGGGTGATACTGTTGGGACTACATTTGCTCTGTTCTTTCCTGTAAATGTTGTGTATTCCATCACTGTTACCCTTATGATGTATCAATCTTGCTGTCTGCAATATTTCTTTATTTTAACTTGACTAGAATTTCTTGGCTGATAAAAATTCTGTTTTAAACTCTGATTCCTTTTTGTTTGTATTTTTCAGGTATGTCTTTTATTTTATTGCTTCTAATGAGATTCCTGGCTGGTGTCATTGTCTATCTGATCCTGATTATTGTGTCTCTAGGCAGTATCAGTAAGTATATAATGGCCATTCACTGATTGCAGATGTTTTTTACAGACATGGATTTATGCTTTATGTTCTACACATGTACACACACACACACACACACACACACACACACACAAAGAAGAAAAATTAGCCTAACACCAATAAAAAGAATTGGAATTATTTCTTTTTTAACTTGATATAAAAAAAAAAAAAATGAGAAAATCAGCAGACAATTCCTGATACCTCCTGATAAGTTGACTGAATGATTATATAAAGATTCATCTATGCAACTCTGGAGTCTGGGTTCTAAACATAAAATCAATCAGCTAAATGACACACACACACACACATATATATATATATATATATATATATATATATATATATATATAAACTATCAATTGGGGACCTACTTTAACAACCTGGACCCAAACATTAAGAAACTTGCATGGAAGCAAGAAAAAATTGAGAAAAAGATCATCAAGCAGAAGCATTCCATAGTCTTTAATAACAACCTGCTGCCGAAATACACACACACATATTTGGTTTGGTTTTTATTTTACGGCATAACAACCTCAATGGGTCATTTAATGCCGACAACTTTTTTTTTTTGGATAATATTTTTGTTTTGTCAAAAATCTATTTCTGGTAATATTTTTTTCCTCAAAATTGTATAGCTGATAAGATTTTTTTTAAAAAAAACGTATTGCTGGTAATAGTTTTTTCTTCAAAAATTTATTTCTGGTAATAATTTTTTTACAAAGTATTTCTGGTATTAAAAACTATTTTTACACTTTCATAATGCTTTTTACCTCAGTTTTGAGGTTAACTATTTGCCCATAGCTGGGACCCTAACAGTTGCTACCACCCCGGGTCAGGGCGGACCTGGGAACACCAGCAATTAAGAAATGGTTCCACGTTCCTCAAAGCCTCCTGGTCAGAGGCCTTGCTGTTGGCCGTAGGTAGTTTATCGTCTTACCCTGGACGCGGATGTAGTTTATTATCATACCCAGGATGATGGCACACACACACACATATATATATATATATATATATATATATATATATATATATATATATATGTGTGTGTGTGTGTCTGATACTACAGGACTTAATATTAAATTGTATTTTAAACATAGTTCCTCATTTCCAAGTTTTTCTATTACTCTGTGATTCAATCAACATTTTACTAGTCACCAAGAATTTTTTTGATGAATTGTTGGCCAAAAAATATTACCTTTTAGGGAAAAAATATGCAGTTTTTCTCTTTAAAATATATATATATATATATATATATATATATATGACAACTGGACCAAATGATTATACAAAGGTTCATCTCGGAAACTCTGGAGTCAGGGTGCTGAATATAGCATCAATCAGCAAAATTATGCATTTTATATTTGTATTAAGCATATATATATATATATATATATATATATATATAAATGTGTGTGTGTGTGTGTGTGCATATTGGAATTGAATACTGATCAAAGATGGATTGGAATCCAACAGAATGATAAAATATTTATCAATCTAACATATTTCATTTTTATTAAAACTTCATATGAAGCTTTAATAAAAGTGAAACATGTTAGATTGATAAACATTTCCCATTTGTTCTTTATCTTATCATTATTTATTTATATATATATATATATATATATATAGTACTTCCACCATTATCGGTAAGTCAATTTTCTGGACTTAGATTATGGTTGGGAGATATGAAATAAACATTGATGGCAACATTTCCTGAGTGAAAAAGCAGTTCATTCTGTGGTTTATGGACCAATTTACAGCATGGCATTCAAATGTTACCTAATGACCTTCAAGGATAGACCTTCAGTTATACTTTTGGGACCAATACTTCTGGCAGATTTTTATAAATTCATACAGGATCTTATAAGGGCCAGATTACAAAGTTACCTTTTTTCTTCTACTTTTTTTGTCTTTTGAGAGAACTTATGAGGATAATACATATAAAAAGAATTACAAGTTTAGAAGTCATAAACAGGATTCATTATTGGTGGCTGCAAGCTTAACAACATAAAATATGCAGATGACACTGTGTTGATAACAGACACAGAAAGGAAATTCTACAGTAAAAGAAAGCGAAAAGAAAACTAAACCTCAATTGTAAGCAGGCAGGATGTATGGTTGTCAGTTAGTATAAAAGAAACTGCCCAAAATGCAAGCTCTGAAGTAATGATACCAAAATCAAGCAAGTATGAAAAATTTAAATGTCATAAAATTATTTTAACAGATTATGAAAAATATGACACCTAAATTCAAAGGCACATTGAAATAGCAAAAGATGTTTTCCAAAAGCTAAGTATTAAAAAAAAAAGGAAAATTTTGTTCAGAACAAAGAAAAACGGACTGACCTGTTATTTAATATCAGTCGTCTTATATGGCAGCAGATGAAGAAGAGAGCTGAGGCAATAAAAAGAAGGATACTGAGAATACGATAAACTGAACATATGAGCAGCAACAAAATTCTGGGGAAAAGGGAAACAAAAAGCACACATAATGAAGAAAGAGAGCTTGGAGAATTTGACATTCAAAGGACATATTGAAGATAAGAGAGAGACAGAGGAAAGTAGCAAATAACCTACCTAATGAGCCTAGTGTAAATTGTTGGCAGAACAGGGATTAGGAGAGATAGAATGACAAAACTTACTTAGTTACCAACGACAGGAAATTTTGGAGAGCTATGATCACCTATGACTTGAAAGGACATGGCTCATTGATGAAGATTCTGTTGAAAAAAAAAAAAAGATAAAATATTAAAAATTTAGTTAAATAATTTTAATTTAGGATTCTTCTTTATCAGTGAATTAAGATTTAAATATAAAAAAGATGATAATATTTGTAAAGGTGTGAATTTTAATTGAAAATTTAATGGTGGTAAAAATATCCAGCCTAAGTTGAATCTGATGACATAAAATTATACTCTGTATGCAGATCTCTCAGCACTTGAGGCCAAAGGGAGATAACCTTATTTGCAATAAGCAGCTTCTCAATTTTGAAAGCTAAATCTGTTGTTAGGCCAAAAGTTATTAATTATTCATACATTTTATTCATTTTATAAATAATGAACTGCTTCAACAAAAGCATTGCATCAATTTATAAATATTAGGCAAAAAGATAAAATTGTGAAAATTATTTTTATGTTCAGCTTTTTTCTTTTTATGTTGTCAGAATGTTGTTTTCATGTTTCTCACATCAGTTTGCCACCATGTGTTGCAGTCAGTATTTTTAGCTCACTAAAATGGCAACCAAAAATTCCAAATATAAATGAGAAACAACTGATCAAAATTTTTTTTTGTTTAAATATATTCTCAGAAAAATGACAACTTTGGCAAACAGTGAGTAAATGTGTATGAGTGCTTTTAAGTGCTTGACAGTTGTGGCAAAATTATTTACATGATTGGCAGCAGCATGATGGGAACTGAAAAAGAGATTTTTTGAAGGTACAGTGTGCTTTATACTAATACCTCATAATCATAGTCATGTGATTATATGTCTAAGTGAGATAATCCATTTCTGTGAAATATTCCTGCTTATCTGTTTATATTTCTGAGATTAGGTATTGTAATTATTTACATTATTTACATTGTTCAGACTGTTGTCCTCATCTTTATTGTCATGTTCCCAATGTTTCAGCCATTGTATGCTGGGCCATGTGTCCTCAAGGACATGCTTTGGCCGTTGTATGATGTTTTGGCCATATGTCCTCAAGGATACATGGTCCAGTGGATAAAAGCATTGGTTGGATCCAGTGACTTGAGTTGTGAATTCAATACCTGTCTAATGCAGAGGTAAATAAAAACTTGAAGAGTTGAGTTAAAGGGAGATAACTAAGACATCCAGAAGAGGGATGACATGTAGAACTAGAACAATCTAACCTGGTGGACAAAATAAAGGGTTCAGTTCAAGATTCCAATCACCTGAAGAAGGCCAGAGTGTAAAATGGCTGAAACATTGTGAATATGACAATAAAGATGAGGACAACAGTCCGAACAATGTAAATAATTCCTGTTTATTTATTTTATTGTTTGTGGTTTTGGTTCACACAGATTCTGATTGCCCTTTGACAAGAGTGTATAATGTTTTTTTTCTTTTCATTTCAGTTGGTACTGCTTTCCTTTGGTGGACTTACAGTAGCTTTAAGACTAAATTGGACCATGATGAAGCTTTTCAGATTCCTTTCCTTGATGTGGAAATCAATGGAGAAAATGCTTTCCTTGCATACTCAATCATTGCAACCATTTTAACCGTAAGCTCATTTGATTCTATACAAATTTAGTTATGAAATACGTTTTCTATTTTAATATTTCAAATATGCTGAGATAAATTACTGTTATATAAATTACTATTATTTTATATTTTTTCCTGATAATGAATGCATGACTGCATATTCCATCCCTAAGTAAAAATAAATACCTTTGTATACAATGATAATTTTGAAGATAACAGGTTGTGGGGGATTGGTAACCACCACTCACACCACTGAGGATTCTCTTGAGATGATTCAAAAAGATCAGTGATCCGAATCTACAGAGAACATGCTACATCATCGATGACAACTCACTGGTTTGCTGTCACCATCTCTTGAGTTTGCTGAATCATCTTGTCAGTGAGAAAGGTTGACGGGTGTCCTGCTCCTTCTTCATGCATCACACTTGTCCAGCCATTTTTAAACTTTTTGATCCACTCATATGCACTTCTATGCAGTAGTGTACTGTCACCATATTGTATTAAAAGCCTCCAATGAATTTCAGCTTGTGACACACCTTCCAACCAGAAAAATCAGATCACTGCTCTTTGTTCCTCCTTGGTGCACACTGCTAGTGGAGAAGCCATGTTTACACTCTAACAGCAGCAAGAAAACTTCAATCATGTGACTACAATAGTACCAGTTATAAGCATGCATGAACAGAAGACAGTATAATAAACCTAAAGATATGGTGTAAGTGAAGATAATTTTTGACTTACCCTTGTACTTAGATGGGTGACTATTTTAGCATATGAGATCTTGCGCCCTATTATGTAAAGGTTTAGAAAATAAATAAAAATTATAGATACTAAAATGTTCAAATTTCTTATTTTGCAGGTGATTCTTCTGTTGGTGATCTTTGTGATGAGAAAACGCATTTCTCTTGCCGTGTCTCTCTTTAAAGAAGCAGGAAAGTGTATTGTTGACATTCCATTGCTTCTTATTCAACCATTTTGGACTATTCTTGCCCTTGGCGCCTTCTTTGTTTATTGGGTGGTTGCACTTGCTTATCTCTCAACTGCAGGTTTGACCCCATTTTTTCACCTTTATTCCTTCCTTAACTAAATTTCCATCTATAATTTTGAAACGATTCCTTATCATTCCATAATTCTATAATTTTGATACGATTCCTTATCATTCCAAGAGTTGTTCAAAAATTTTCAGCTCAACTCTTTTTCTTATTTTTGTAGTTATCACATTTCCTTTCATTCCTCTTATATACCTGCTTTTTTTATACATTGATTTTTTTTTATGGTTTATCAACCTTTTTAAATCAAAACATATTTTTGGATTGTATGTTTTGGAGATAATGACTTTCTGATACAAGTCCTACTATTTAGCTTATAGCTTCACAAGGATATTTGTATATAAATGAATATAACTAATCTGACTGGAATTTGAACTTGGTTCTCCAAATTCTCATTCCAAGATGTTGTCCATTACACCAACCGTGTGGTTGGTGTAATGGAGAACATCCAAGCTTACAGCACCTGCTTCCTGAGCAGTCATCCATATAGGTACTGACCAAGTTCAGCATTTCTTAACTTTGGTGATTGGACAAGAACTGATGTCTTGATAATCAGATTGTATACCTAAAGACGGCTACATCAAAAGAGTATGGTAAGAAAAAAAAACATCTAAAAAAGAATGAGATTACAAGTCTGAACTGTTTGTAAAAATAATAATGACTCATCTCAAATCTCCAGGACATTTCATTAAAGTCTTTCTTTACAATCTTTAAAAATTTTTGCAACTATTTTGTCTCCAGGCCTGCATATTTGAGAAATCTTAATGTAAGTTTTCTCAAGTATGCAGGCTGTCAGATGAAATATATACCATTTAAAATAAAATGAAGCATCTACTCAAATACAAGTATCCACTAAAAATAATATTTGAAGTAATAAAATTCAAATGATTCCAAAAAATAAAATCCATTAATTCTTCAGAAATTAATTTATGTACATGTCTTGAGCTGTAATTTTCTGCAAGTCCGCTACCCTTTAGGGCTCAGGAAACTACCACATGTTTTTTAGCAATTGCTGGTCTATGAAGCAACACAGTAAATATGAGCTCCCTACTAAATCTGAAATTCTTCCACTCTAAGACACCATGTTTTCATTTCCTTGAGTTTGTTCCAAATTGTTGTTTCTGTTTGAAAAAGTGTTTTTCTTTGAGATGTACTTAGTATTTAGTATGTCCATTCCCCTTTCAGTCATTCAGTTATGTGCCATGCATGATACTGTACTGTACTGATGCGGCATTCACCCTGGGCGGATTGAGCCGGCTTCTTCCTGTTATGAGAAGAAGATTCTTGGGATAAATTACAGAAGTAGGGTACCCAGGCCTACTCGGATAACGTTCTTGCTTGCCGGGATTCCCACAGATGCAGAGACAGGAACGACCAGAAGCCGCCAAGTTACCGATGCAGACGCTCCTTGGATTTTCACCAGAGCCCTTGTTAGCGGCGCGTGTGTCAAACCTGTCCGCCTTGGGTGGCCCTACCAGGAACGAAGTTCGGGCGGCATAGCTCTGACACTACCGTTTACACCCCCCCACCGACTGTGAGGTAAGGGTTGGACTTTTCATGCATGATACACACTTAGGTGATCATGTATCAAAAGATACATGACTGACAAGGCAGATTTTTTTCCTGAAATAGGTTGCCATTTCTTTCTGCAGTCGACCAGTTGCCATCCAAGGCTATAGAACCCGGTCTGTCTTGCTATTTACCCATAGATGGAGAGAGAAGAAGAGGATTCATACCTTTCCCAAGGGTATTAGCACATAAGTGAATGTAATGGATTCGACTGGAATTTGAACTCAGCTCTCTGATTCCTCAATCTGAACCGCTATCCTTACTCCACCATGCCTCCTATTTCCCTTTAAATATTGTAATTGTTGTCATCATTCCTATTTATTTCTTTGAAACATATTTTCTTTGTTCATGTCCTTTGTACTATGTTGTCTATTTGTTTATAGTTTCACATTGTCTTTGCTAAATAAAAGGGTAACATCAGTATGAAAAGTGGACCTTATTTCTTGAAACCAAGATATAGTTACAATCAGTAATCCACATAATAGTAATTTCAACAAATGAAAATAACTATTAATACAGTGAATCATTGTATGTATTAGAAAAAATATTAACTGAACATTTGGCAATGCCTAAAAGTTTTTTTTTTTAATACATATTTTCAGAATAGGTTATGAATTTTTTTTTTTTAGGTCATATTATATTAGGTAATATTTGTTTCAAATCAGATTTAATAATGTCATAGTGAGACTTCTACATTTTACAATAGGTACTCTAATGATATACATACTATGTTGTACTGGTGCCAAATATTTTTCATTTTGTTAATTTGCCTGCTATGATAGTAGATTTGTTTTAGTTTTTTTCATGAAGGTAACAAGAACATCAAAATGTTCATCTGAATGGTCTTTGATATTAAAAGGATTTTTTGAGAAAGAAGACCAAGACATCAAATTTCTTGTCCTGAGCATCTTGAATGCTGTAAACAAAAAAAAAAATTCCTATTCCAATGGGAAATTTGAAAAAGTTTACATTTATCAAATGACATGAAAAATAATAATACAAAATTTACAAATCAAGCTTGCAGAAAATTTTCCTTTATGAGCCAAACACTTAGGCAAGATAATAAGTTCTAATTACAATTCTTTTGGGTTCATAAAAACAATTATAATTATTGTCTAAACCAGCAATTCTTAAACTATGGGTCACAACCCCAAATTGTAATTGTGAAAATTAAATTCAAACACTTGAATTTCAGTTTATGTTATTTCACAAACACAATATTTAATGTGAAGTACCACACAAATGCTGCAGTAATAAAATGCATGTGCAGTGCCGTTGTGACAACATATATATTTTCAGTGTAGTTGGTTAATACCTGGTGTTGTGAAAAATCTTGTCATGAAAAATGGTGTCATAAATGAAAAAAAGTTTAAGAAACACTGGTCTAAACAAACCAGAAACCCAATGAAGCCTGGGAATCATAAATATTCTCAACTACTTTTGACAATCGAATGAATCGAAGTAAGTGAACATTTTCCTGATAAATTGGTTAAAAATCACAAAATGTATCTATTTGAAAACTTTATTATGACAGGTTTTCAGATTATCAGACTTGAACCTCATTTTTCTTTCTTTTTTTTTTTTTTAAAAAACAAGTTTTGAAAACTGATAGACTTCATTGTGATGGTTTATTTACATCAATTTGAACCTCACATATGCAAAATTTTACACATCAAATTTTATTCAAGCCATTTTTTACAAAAAACTGCTATAATGAAGCCACATTATAGCAGTTTTTTATTTAAAGAATGTTTTAGTAACTTTCTCCTTTTAATAAATGATAAATGCTTTTTTAAACACTCTCGTCAAAGAAAGTGTAATAAACAAATCTAGTCAATTGTATTATTTTTGTATTTACTCTTTAATTATTTTTATATAATTTTATATTTCTTTTTTATTACATAAATTTGTATATTTCCCCACATGGCATTTTGCATTATAAATACATTTTATGTATTTGGTTCTCAGTCTACAACTGGTTCTTCAGTTTCAGGACTTAAATTAAAAATAGAGTCCACTTCTCATTTCTATTTTATTTTTTCATTTGAAAATTAAGTGAATTTTTTAAATCCTTGTATTTTTTTAATAGCATATTTTACTACATTTATTTTTTAAACTATTTCCAAGAGTGATAAAGCATTATTTTCTATTTTGGTAATCTGCCAGGAACTGAGGATTTGAAATATAAAATTTTCATTTATAGAACCTAAATTTCTTTAATTCTGTTTAATTACATCTTAAATGGAATAATCAATGAAAATATCAATGAAATTTTAGAATTAAAAAAGTCCCTTTGAGCATTGAAAAAGATTCAACTGAAGGGAGCTAATAAGGCAGAAGAACTAATAACATGTAGGTGTGAACAATTTCAAAGATTTATATCAATAGGAATGTTAGTGAAAGGAAACTGAAGGAGTAGCCAATATAACAATTAGAGATTAATAAGATTTAGAAAAAGAGTACTGAACTGTTATGTGATATCTGTCCTCCTATATGACAATGAATGCTGGTCAATCTCTTCAAAAATGAAGAAGAGACTTGAAACAACAGAAATGTGATTCTACAGAAGGATGCTGAGGATATCATGGACCAAATATGTAAACAGTGACAAAGTTTTTTTGGAAACAAAAAGAAAACTTATACTTAACATCAGGAAGAGACAATTGAAATTTCTAGGGTGCGTAATGAGGAAAGGTGGTTTGGAAAATATGATAACCACAAGATAGATTTAGGGAAAGAGGAAAACAACACATGGCCTACTTAGTGAGCTTAAGTAAAAGGATGGTAGAACAAGGTTTAAGAGAAATAACAAAAAGACAAAATTTATTAAGAGCTACAAAGGACAGGAAATTGTGGAGAACCATGACCTCCTACATCCTGAAGGGACACAGCACATAAAGAAAAAAGTGGGTAAGAAAAATAAGTTCTTAAGAAAATGGCACCAGTATTTGGAAATGACTGTTATGTCATCAAAACAACACCCTTTCCTTCCACTTTTATAATGATAATGTATACTTGCTTGATACGTCATCTATGCCAATGTAGTAGAAAACTTGTAATCGTAAATATCAATTATAATATGCCGTTGAACAATACTGGTGTCAGATGTCTTAGAATAATACTTGTATTCATAGTACTTCGTATAGTGAGAAGAGAACAGTAGTCTGAATAGTATAGGGGATAGAGGAGAAATAGTGAATACGTAATAATAGGGGATAGACTGAGAAATAGTGAACACATCAGATGTCATGCAACTTCCTCTATATAAGCGTTTCCGCTAAGGTCACATGATCTACCTAATGAATAATGAGATTGCATGTGTTCACTTGCGATCACTAATGTCAGCAGAGACACTTTATTCCTATATAACATAAATATAATGTGATCAACAATTAACATTAAATTAATGTTCAGGTAAACAGTACACA